AACATTTACATCATGTTGACAACTTCATGTGTGCTGCACTTAGAATAGAATTTTCTTTAACTAGAGGGTTAATAAAGAAAAAGCTATTTGAATCATGTTGTAGTAACATTTTTAAGTTGACTAGTTATAAAATCGAGATTTTATTTTTTTGTGAAATCGCCCATCCCTATCGTATATAATTGGTTTTAAGCTCAGAATGATATACTTTTCAATCATGCCTTTTATTTCCAAAACTGTGGTTTCACCACGTTGCCCTGTTTTCTCAGCTGGAACCTGCTGGTGGTTATGTAACATATTTGGTTTTCTACAGCAATAAATTTTCTCGGTGCTTCGTTTGCCTTACTGGATTCAGAGCAGTGCTTTGGGGAACTTAAAGTAGACAGTAGTTTCTGTGGTCTGTGAGGGGGTCCATGAGGGGTTTTTTTTATGGTCTTGGCTGGGTAGGTCGTTAAGCCTGCAGTTGATTTTTAAAAGCATTACTGAAGAAAGGCCAAAAAATTAGGACAGGGTGTTATTCATTAGTTAAGGGGATCATATAATTTTTCCTAATAATGATTTATCATTTTATTTTTGCATGAGGTCTACTTATTATGTTAAGGTTTTTTCCTCCAAGAAGTCATGATTTAGTTAGTATAATCATGACAATTCCACCCTCTGTCTGACCCTTTAAAGGGCATGTTATTTATTTTTTTGTTGCAGCTTTGTCTTTAAGACTTCTACATAAAGGCCCTTAATATGTGTGCTTGATATTTCAAGTAGATTTCAATTCAGTATGAACAAGTGCGTTGCACATTATGATTGCATCTGTAGTTGTTTTCAATCAATTTGATGATCATTCTTTCTGCTACCAATAAAGTGTAGTACTTTACACTCCTTTAAACACTTTTCCCCAATTTTTCCCATAATCAGTGCAGAAAACGTGCATCCTGAATTATTTTCTGAAGACTGTTCTGTTCTTGATTCACAATCTTTCTTGATATTTTCATTTACTCTCTATTGACTCTTGCAAATAACCTGCGAACACACATTTGTTTATTAATTTAGACTCCAGAGTTATGTTAGGATATAGATCAAACAAGTGACTTTTTAATAAGTTATGGTGCCATTCTGTAAATCGAGCTTTGTGAGCATGTATTACATTTTGCCTTTAACTTAACAAGAAGATTGGGATTGAGGCTTTTTTTAGGGTATAAGGGTGAAGATGCTATTTTATATCCCTTTTTAGCTTTGGTCTGTGCCACTAGATCTTTTCTGGTAGTATTGTCATATAAGGAAGAAAACTGACATCACCCTTCCGATAGTAATGTAGACCCAAAATGGTCACAGCCACATTAATACAGATTGGGGAACCTTGTTTCTTGTTCTTTTTTTTCTTAAGTGTTTAGTTTTGCATGCGTGTATGTGGACTAATGGTCAGACAGAGAAATAAAAGGTTTCAGTATGGAAAGTAGTGTTTTCACACCTCATTGACTCCACTTTATGGCTCTGTAATGGCCTCACAGCCACTCTGCGTTTGTTGGCTTTCCACATTTCCACTGGAATTGCGAAATCGACAGGTGCTTGCCTGCATTCACTCTCTCTCTCTCTCACTTCCTTTTATGTACTCCTTTTCTCTTTCTCGCTCCTTCTGCCCTCCTGTTCTCCCCTCAAATTATTTTTCACGATTTCGTCTCTCACTCTCCCTCAGAAGGGAAGCGGAGATATTCGAAGGCTTACACATTGTATAGAGAAGCACAGTTTTGCTGTCAAAAACACTTTTGTTTGTCACACTTAAATTGTCACTTTAGTGGCTCAAACAGATGCTCAAACAACCTTTCTTTTTTTGTCCTTGGCCCAGTTTGTTCTTGAAGAATGTTTTTGTGTCTTTGATATATATTACATATTGTACTGTTTGTCCCTCAAACACACACCACATGGCCCAAAAGTATGTGGAAGCCCCTTTTATCCCTGCAGGTCTGCTGGCACAAAAACTCACTCATTGATAATAAGAAATGTTTCTTGTGCATCAAATTAGCATATTAGAATGGTCTCTGAAAGTACATGTGACTGGACCAATGGCTGCTGAAAATTCAGCTTTGCCATCAGAGCACTATTTAAAATATACTAAATACAATCTCTCTCATCTCACCAGGCAAAAATTGTGCCACTCAAATTTGGAATCACCCCCTATTTCCCCGGAAACCCCGGTTATGATGATCAAAGGCAAAGCAGCAAGACGAAAGGGCCTCAGAAAGGAAGCAAACACCCTCAGTCATTTTTTCCAGAAGAAGACCCCTGTGATTCCCTCATCAGAGGCCCAAACAAGTCTTAAGCTTCATGTGCCAGTCAAATCAGAACCCATGGAGCTGTGTTTACAGCAGCTAGGTAACGTCAAGCATGAAAATGTTGAGGATACAATGGGAATGGTGAAAGACGAAAAGATGGATGTAACTGCTTTTCCTTCCACGTCTCACAATAAGCCACTGGTTAAAGGTGATGTGCATGACATGCTATTTTGTTGAATTTATATTGTATGTTTGAAATAAACACGTATATTAGTTAAATGTTATAAGTGTAATGGGTTTGTCTATCAGTCTATTACATTGTTTATCCCTTAATGCATTGATAATGGGTTGTCCACTGATGCATTGAGTTTTCTTCACAATAAGTGAATTATTATATATTTTTTTAGAGCGGTGACACCATTTTAAAAACATCTTTGTAATTTTGTGCTGGTTATAATAAGCAATAATTTGTTAATAATGTGTGTTGCAGTGGAATGCCCTGTCTGTGGAGTAGGTGTGCCCGAACAGCACATTAATAAACATCTGGATATGTGCTTGAGCAGAGATAAAGAGGGATTGAGAAGGTATGGAGAATATTTGTCCCATAATACAATATTATCGTGTGAAGTTTGACAGTGCAAATTATCTGATTGTCTAGAGGAAGCGTGCTATTAGTTGACCTGCTATTATTCAAAATCAGAATCCTCTTTTTATCAAGTTATTACTTGGTGATATTGTTTACATGCAGTAATTCAATAAATAAGAAATTAATACTGAACAACTGATATTTCAAACACAATATGTTTCTATATTCTATATATTGCTGATGAATGTAGTTTCAAAAGAATCTAAACCAGGATCAAACTTTCAATGAAGCAAATGCTGACTAAGAGAGTGAATGTAAACGGCAAAACATTTCAAATATCTTGAAACACCATTTGTTCAATCAAATAAGTGGAGTATAACTAATGGCTATATATAATTCAATTAACGTTTCTTGAAAGTTGGTTGTCCAGATTGTTTGCGCAGATGTCTGACAGTCTCCGCTTTCTTAGACCTGTTTATTTTTCTACCTAATCAGGGACCCTTTACAATCATGTTTTTGTTTTATTCTTGGATGTGTCTGAGTTAGTTGAATGAAGTTTAACAAATGAACTGATTGTGGCTGAAACAACTTTTTTTAATAGATTGTTTAAAAAATTGTTCTGTGGTGAATAATTATGGGCACTTGAAAAGTAGTTGAGCACTTGTGGTTAAAGAATGGATTGGATCCTTATTAAATAACGTTCCCTATAGATTATAGCTTGTCTTCATCCCTCCCCCCTTTACTGGGCCTCCCCTTTTTCACCTGAGGGACATTCTGAAGGGCCGACATTTTGGTGTGTGTCTGATTGACAGAAAGGGTGATTTCATTTACTGGACATCGTGAGGGTAACATGATTAATGAGGGCATGCATCAGCATTCCTGTGGCCTTAAGCCCATCCTGACATACTACTGCTACAGATATGAATGCATTTTTCACCTTTAAATGCTTTTTGTTTAATAGTGTTGGGTCTGGTGCTTATACCTTAATATTAGGTAAAAGTAATAATTCACCCTCATATCAAACCTGTATCCCTTTCTTTCTTTTGTGAAACACAAAAGAAGAGATTTTGGGGGGCAAAATACATTAGACCCCATTGAGACACTGAGACTTGCTTCTTTTGTAATCCACAGAAAAAAGAAAGTCATAGAGACTAAAGTCATGACATAATTTTCATTTTTGGGTGAACTGTGCCTTTAATCATTACAGCTATTTAACTGTACTGCCTGAAGGCTGTTGTATCCAGTTTAAGTGAAAAAAGAAGAAATATTGCTGCATTAGTCATATTTTTTTATGAGTAATATTATCTTTTAGGATGAGTAATGGCATGAAAGGCAATGTGTTTTTAGACAGTATTCTGACCTGTTTAATAGACATTCCACTTCTTTCTTTAATTGTTTGTGACACATTTCATCAAGGTATATATTAAAGGGGTCATATGATGCGATTTCAAGTTTTCCTTTCTCTTTGGAGTGTTACAAGCTGATTGTGCATAGATAAGATCCC